GGGGGGGGGGGGATGATTTACTGCTGACAGGGAATTTTTTTCTGGGATCATTATGTGCAAGATATTTTTTTTATCCCATGACCATGTACGATTTTTTTAGCCAAACTTTCTTTCGCAGCATTTTTTTTCAATAGCTTATACTATTTAGATTCTTTAATTATAGTTAACGTTGAGTTTTCTAGCTTCATGCATTGCTCTTAATAATACATATTGCTATGAGGTATAACATTTGGTTCAGGGCCGTTTTTAAGTTCCAGTCGGCAAGTCTGTATCCAGGGCCGTAGTTAGCATGTATAGTTGGGGGGATGTAGGCCAAAAATTTGCGAATGACGAAAATAATTTCCGAATATATCATTGCATACTAAGCCACGAAGGTGTTTGCTATTCTAAAAATGAAGACGCAATTTACAAACAAAAAATGGTAGGGAGCTTTTGTTTATTGGGGGCAGAAAACGAGGGCCGAGGAGATTTTTTAATTTCGAGTCTCTGAAATGCCATTTCCTGGACTTTGGGGGAAGTTTTGACAGAATGCTGATGGTCAGAAAAAAGCGTTTTAGTATGTCGAAATTCACAATTTGCTTACAATTTATAGTGACAATACAATTTTATAATATTTTCTCTGTTTAACAACTAAAATTTTGTTCTACTATTATTGTCGTCAGTATTATTCTTGTTCTACTATTATTGTCGGTTATGTTGATTCTAAAAAAGTTGGGGGTTAACCACCCCTCAATACCCCCCTCGCTACAGTCCTGTCTGTATCACTGCAGCTACCTACAGCATATATTGGATTTTTTGAAGCTCAGATAAGCTATTTCCAGCATTTTGAGGAGTTTTCCGACAAGAAATTAACCTTACACTACTCCCTGAAAATCAAACTAGCTGATCTTCTGGGACTGGTCAAATCGATCTCTGCATGCAACCATGCTGTTTTGCAACATTTTTTTTCCCACCAAATACTGGGGCAGGATATTTTTTCCCCAGTTTGTTAGTGCAGGTATTTTTTTTGTTCAGAATAGCCTTGCAGGAAATTTTTTTTTCAAAATCACCCCCCCCCCCTCCTCGAAAGTTAAATGGTCGGCCCCTTATAAGTTGTCATTACTTATTACAGTGAATGCGCGTATATATGAAACTGTTTTTTACTTGCATGATTTCAATATTAGTTTGTAAATCTCGGAATGGTAAAACTTGCTAATACTCCAATAATACGTTTCAAAAAAGACAAAAAGTTTTAGTTTTGCAGAGTTAAATTCTCAAACGTGTAAGGCACTAATAAGAAATTATTTGAATAAATCACATCGCATATATGGGGGGGGGGCGAATATTCTAAAGGGCGGGGGGGCGATATTCCTAGGGTATTCGCCTCCCTTTTGAGAGGGGGCGAATCTACTGGGGAGGGGGCGCAAGTCCTGTCCGGCGGAGCTTGACCTGATGGCTGGACATTTGCTAGTACAGGCGGCGCTTGTTCGGGAGCCACTTGTTTTTGTTTTTTTTAAATTTTATTTTCCCATGTACATTACAATTATTTAATACATTATTACAAATTAACTATTTGGGCTAGAGACCTACTAGAAACCTTTGCAGGCTTTTGTTTCTAGGCCACTAGTCATGTTGCTGTTCATTACCCTGCTGTTCGGCCATCAGCCGGCAAAACGATATGCACATCGTTGGGTTCTTGAGCTTCGGCCATGACGACTTCTTCTCGGGACAAGCGTTTAACAAACTAACCCTGACTTCCTGATATCTCTGTCTTTTATGTGTGATGTCACAAGTACCGTCGCGAGGAACTCGCTTCAGGGG